ATGATTTGTTTAATTACACGAAAATAAATTGTACATCCGAATAACTGATGTTGGCTTTGATGGGCTTGCTTATTTTTATTATTATTGTATCAATCTTGTTATAAAAATAAAACTTATTTCTACTCGTAATAAAATTTTTTATAAAATAATTTTAAATAATACATTTAAGAGTAATACAGTCATATGTACTAGTATTGATTTAACATCATATATTTGAAGTACACGATAAAATTATATATTGTATAATTTAGATACAAAAAGATAAATAGTATAAATGTGCATGCTTTTTTTTATATAAATCAACTATCGGTAGAATTAGTATTGTTACAAGTTTCCATATTTAGCAAAGAAATTTTTCCATTTTCATAGATAATTCTAGGTAAGAATTTATCGGTATATGCATTTTGAATTTCAGGAATCTTATTATGATATAAGTGTTCCACAACATCTGTAACACAAAAATTGACATGTAACATATACATGAGTACAAATTATATTTACAAATATAAATTAGATATTTCGTTACCAGCGAAATTATCCGTATCAGTTCTATTGCATTCTTGAACAAGATAAAAAAAAATTTTGCAAAGGAATATCGCAGTTGCTCCATCAAAGTGTTGCGCAACATTGGGCCATATAATTTCGCGAGTATTGGATATTCCTTTTGTATACATACTGCAAAAATAAGTATATGCGTTTATATATAATGCGATTCAACAAAATTTGTGACCTATTAAAAGCAATCTAAATGATACTCGATACATGTATTGTACTACAATAACAGTTATAGAATGTAATGATATTTACTATTCAATTAATTGTATCTTAATGTCGTTTAAATAAATAGGACCCGTGCTGAATAATTGCAGGTGTAATTGGTGCTGCCAAAATGTTCTTAAGACATTCTCGTTTATGTTAAGTTCTTCCTCCATTTTGTCCCACACTGATTTAGGAAGCGTGGCATCTTTAAGTTCTTTTATATCTTTGCTTATTGTCACATTGAGTAAAGTTTTTATAAATTTTTTGATCAGTGGTAACGTCCATTTAATGTTAACTAACGCTGTAATTAAATAATTTGATAGTATACATATATGAATGCACTAAGTATCTAGAAATATAAACAATGTTTAATGGTGAAAGAACATATCGCTTTTTTACTTCAAAAGTGATATAATTAAAAAAACATGATCTTTGAGTTATTACTATGAATGTGTTAAGGAGATACTTCATCAGTCATAAAGAGTGAATTAATTTAACTTTATAAAAAGTTGAAAAATTGTGACAACTTAAAAAGAATGGTTAAGAATTATGAAATGAAAGCGACAAAAATGACAATTGATCATGTTAAAAATATATTCTTTTTATACCGATATTACTTAATAATTTTCTAAACAATATATTTATATTTTTTGACCGTATATTTGAGAAACTCAATCAATACTAGAAATTTAACTGCCTATTACGGTCGGAGCTGGATCTCCGACCGTAATAGGCAGTTTTTCTAGTATTAACAATTTTCTGTTAAGTTAACAAAGTTTTTCCCCTTTTTCTGCAGGAAACTTAATTTTTTAAGTAGTCACTTTTGAAGTGGAAAGAGCTAATATCATGAAAGTTACTTACATTCCTTTTCTGATTTATCTAGAGTTTGATTTTTGAGATATTGATATCGCTTAAAAATCGATCGGTTGGTTCGTCTTAGTAATTTTCCTAATTCACTATACTTGGTATAACGTTTATCAAGATATTCACTTTCTATGTATGTTAAAATTTTTTTATCTTCCTTAGCAGAATAACTGTAGCATAAAAATCATATGTGAATACAAATTAAAATGATTTGATGATCAATTCAAGCTTGATTTGAGATTTTTGTATTTTACCGAGTGTAAGTGATTTTATTACAATATAATACTTTAAATCTAGTATAAACACTGTAGAGAGTTCGCCAAGGTAATCCATTTGCCAAAAATTGAACGAATCTTTGTCTTTCTTCTATGTCGTTTATATAATATCTGCCATTGTGTCTCCAATAAAGAAATGGCTTCGGATTCTCTGGATCCCAGTCATGGAGCTGTATATTACACGTTACATGGACAAATATATTAATACAATAATGTAATTATATCATCCTATGATATTGTAATATCTCGCATTTTGAATATTTTTGTTCTCAAGTTTGAGGATTCTGAAGAAAACAGAAGGAAGTTTCTGGGTAACGATTAAAGCAAGGATTATTATCTTATTGTGTCAAATATATACTTCTGCCAAACAATCAGCATTTTTTCATTACACATAAGGTTATCTCAAACATTGCAGATAAGTTATTTTTTTATTTTAAATACTTAAAATATACCTTGCAGAATGTGTTCCAGTTTTTCCTGATAATTTTGTCCTCTGTAGGTCTATATGAACCTTTTCGAATTGGTCCATGTTTTTGGAATAATATTTTCTCTTCCCTTGTTGGCGCATGAGATCCAGAAAGCTCTATTTTATGTTGTGGTGGTACTTTATGTATTAATTTTATATGTAGTTCTAGCAGTTTCTAAAATATAAAATAATAAGTTTTTACAAAACAAATAAATTATATATAGCATTTAAAATATAGCAATCAAAATTAATCAAAATAATGAAATTAAAGGCTACAAACCAATAAAGTTATAACAATGAAATATATAATCTCTAGATTGTTTTGAACACAGCAAAACAAATTATCAAATACGACTAATAAATGAGCAAATTAAGATGTTAAATTAACAATAAAGTTAATTTAATAAAATTAATTCATGTAATATAATAATTAATCATAAATGTTTCTACAGAAATTCATAACTTTAACAATAATTCATAATAGATGTTTTAACTTATATGAGATCATTATCAATATTGTAAACTCTAATTGTTAATATGTTAAAACATTAAATTCACAAGTAAAATGATAATTATAAATGAAAAAGCATTTGTTTATATTTATCATTTTACTTGTGGTTTTAATGTTTTAACATACTAATAATTAGAGTTTACAACATTGATAATGACCTCGTATAGGTCAAAACATCTGTTATGAATTATTTTTAAACTAATAAATTTCTGTAAAAACATTTGTATTAATTATTACATGAATTTATTTTGCTAAATTAACTTTATTGGCTTATAGCTCTTAATTTTATTTTGATTTATTATCGATCGAGTCGTTTGCTTAGCTTGTTATTTTATAATCAAAATTAACCTTTATGTTAATTAATGGCATTTCTTCCCATTCTTCAAAATTATTCAATTTTTTTAAAAGACGTTTTTCTTCTATATTCAACTCATGTTTGTCTTTCTTAAAATGACATTCAGATTCTTGCCATTTTATTTGAAATTGTGATGTTTTAATTCTACGTCTTTTGCGAGACATTGAACATGAATCTGCAAATATATTGGTATCTTCTTTTTCACAATCACTAATGGAAAGAGGATCTGTCACTGGATCCTTAATCATCTCTCCGTCATCTTCTTGTGTGGTATTTATCATCGTTGATAAAAAGATATCTTTACAATCTTCGAACTTTATTACAGAATCTAAATTATGTAACAGATCAATATCCTCAAAGTTTTCTGTATTATATATTTCTGACTTGAAGATATCAGAATCACTATTTACACTAATTGTCCTCTTTCTTTGTAAATATATATCTGTTTGAGCCGTGTCGACAGAGAGAGAGTTTGCAGGTTTATTTAACTTTTTAAATACTGGACTTTTAGGATTCTTTAACAAGTTTTGATTAAATAGATATATGTTCTTATGAGGGCTATTTGTATTTTTGTTTATATATTTTGCATTGTTAAAATCTCGCGTTAAAATCTTATCTACTTTGTTACGTGTATTGTATACATTTCCTATGTTGGTAAATACTTTATCATTCTCTGATTCTAAGCAGCAACTTATTCTTAGCAACTTAGCCTTACAGGAATTTTCAAGTTCTTCATTTTTATGTTTATCTACAATCAATATTGTATTTAATATCTCAGCCATTAAAATTTTCTTTTCCTTAACTTTATTTCTCTTAAATAATATTACTTAATTAATATTACCGTTAGTCTATTCAACTAGTCGGTTTGTTTTTTTGGTTATGTACAACAATAATTGATATAAAATAAAGTCACGTGGCACGTGGCAACTGACTGTGTTCCAAAATTGACTGCCAGCACTAGATAATCTAAAGCTGGAAACACAATAGACATAGCCCACAGGCAATAGGCACAAGCAACAGGGAATAACGAGCCGTCCAATCAGAGCTCTGGGATATAATATCGAACTTATACCCCAAAGCTCTGATTGGACGGCTTGTTATTCCCTGTTGCCTGTGCCTATTGCCTGTGTCTATTGTGTTTCCAGCTCAATAGCGTTTTTTATTGGCAGAACTAGTGCGCACTCAGTGCATTTTAAAGCTGTTGTACAAAAATCGACTTAGATATATACATTTAATAAAAATATAAACGAATTAAACCGAAAAATATTCGATATATTTTATTGTGCTATTTGAGAAAATAAATTTTGGGCATTTTATTAATTGAGATATCTCACTTTTATATTTAGGGGCCGATTCTGTAAAGCTGGAAACACAATAGACACAGGCAATAGGCACAGGCAACAGGGAATAACGAGTCGTCCAATCAGAGCTTTGGGGTATAATATCCCATATTCGATATTATATCCCAGAGCTCTGATTGGATGGCTCGTTATTCCCTGTTGCCTGTGCCTATTGTCTGTGTCTATTGTGTTTCCAGCTTAAAGCGGGG